GTTCCTCTCGTGTCTCTGCAATCTTCCAGCATCCGGTTTCTTTCTTCAATACATACTGCCATTTCCATCAGTTCCCGCAGAGTCGCCGCCTTCGTCACTTTCAGTTCAGCCCTAACCTCTGTCTTGAGTCCAGACCTGAATGCACCGATCAAACACTCCTCGGAAGCTTCCTTTAATGGCGCCGATAATAGTTCAAATTCCTCTACAAATTCTAGCACAGACTTCTCTTGCTTAGCTGTAAATAGTCGTTCATATTCACCGCCGGGTTGTGAAGCGTGGAATCGCCACAGCAACTCCCTTTTAAATTCTGGCCAGTTACTCAATGGTACCCGCGTATCAAGCCACTGGTACCAGTTCACTGCTTTTCCCTCCAGACATACTATTGCTGCTTCGAGCTTCTCATGTTCGGCTATGGAGTTGACGTGAAAGTACCGTTCCACTCTGAAAAGCCACCCGAGAGGATCCTCGCCTGAGAATAAAGGTAGTTCCAGTTTCCGAAACCTTCCTCCCTCTGTCCCACCCCCTGTACTATTCTCAGAAGACTCTGCATGATGAGTGCCTTCTTGTTCTTCCTCACGTGGCCTTGCCACCTTCTTTTCCAGTTGTACCAGAGTATCACTAATAGTCTTCAAGGTTCCCTTGATGTCACTTACATCCTTATTCAATACCCCGACTGCCTCCTTCAACTCTTGTACTTCTCGCTCAGAATACTGCACTTCTTCCGCCATAACTTCTCTTAACTACCCAGAATTCGTACTGCTCTGATGCCAATTAATATGACCTGAACCAATATCTCCACAGAAACAGCAATAAAGACAATAATAACAATAAATGAGGGGAAAATGTTGAGGTTTTGATATTAATAAATTGAGAGAAACCGAATCAGAGTTACAAGTCTTCCTCTGATTCTGGCCAAAACCCTATCTCCCCTGAATGATCACAAAAGTAACAACATTACAAGCTCAAACCTCACAAGAGGGTTCACTCCTTCTGGCATTCGAGAGGCCAGTCTCTCCTCTCCCTTCTCTTCCTCTTTCCCCGGATATCCCCATAATACAAGCAAAAAGATAAAATATACCCACAGCATGGACAGCATGGCTTCCCCCCTAGCCCATACCTCCCAAAAGATCTTAGTTATGGTCAAAGATCCCACGTTACTGTTCCTTACGGCTAGAGACCGAAGGATAAACCTCTGGACCAGTTACCATTATTCTACTAGAGTCATTCTTCCCCTTTGACTTCCTTCGATAAGTCTTAGTAAAATAATGAGGGGCTCTATCATATTTTTATTTTAGGGGACCCTGAGACAAGGGAAAGGATTTGAAGGAAGAGAGAGAGAAGATTCAAAGAGATAAATAACATTTTTCTAATTCTAGTGTGTTTGGGTGTTGAAATTTGCCTTTGAAAGAAGATAATTGCAATTAGACCTTTGATTAAGCAAGGTAAGATTAGAAGCTATCAAATTTGCACTTGACATAGGCATAGGGCCTATTTGGGTAAAGTACTTTCCAACTTTTGCAATGTAATGCTCAAGGACCCTAGGTAATTTTTGTAAGGCTTGTGCATATTTGAATCTTAACTTTGCATATGAGACATCATAGCATTAAATTAGATCATGAGATTTTGTGGATCGAAAGACACTTAAAAAAATCTAATTAAAAGCTTTGATTCTGAAGTTGAAGTTAAACTAGATAACTAGGAGGGAATGAATTGCAGGTATGAAAAGGATTAGAATTCCTAGGGTGTTTCTTAATTCTTGCCTTTCCTTGGAGTTATTCTTATTACTTTTATTTGCATTTCAATTTTCTTCACTAAAATTCACCCTTGGATTGAGTTGCTTAACTAAGATGAAAATGAATTTAATTTGTGCCCAATCCCTCTTACTTTAATTCTGTGTGGGACGACCTTGCTTTCGTTGTACCTTTTCTAATCTGTACACTTGCGTTGCATTTAAAATTAGTGGCAATGAATCATCCATTGCCTAAATGTGAGGTTTAAAAATCATTGGCATACAAAAGCGGGAGGATAAGCTGCCAACAAGTTCTAGTAAGCTTGCAGTCACGAAGAACATGAAGAAGATCTTCTAAAGCATTATGGAAAAATTCACAAGTGTCAATGAGGGACACGTGCAATCATCCATTGCCTAAACATGGTTGAAGAATAAAAAAAATTATTTTTCTTGTTAAAATTTGGAATACAAATTGCAAATTCATTACAACGGAGTTGTAAAATTGAAAGATTGAATTGTAACTTTCTGCAATTTGACACTTGAGACCTAACTTAAATTAATTGATTCTTTTAGAACTTCTCTATCATTCTCCCTATTTTAATTCCCTTTGTTCAAGGGACTTTCCAGAAAAGGAAGATGTTACAATACTGGAGTAAGGATGACATGCTTAACAGAGCAGTCGATTATTAGACATGGTGTAGCTGAGTATTGTGCATTCAAGAAAACTCTTATTCGACTATCGTTGTTTTGTTTTCAAACTTGCGTTAACTTTTGGAAAAGAATAGTTGATTACCAAGAGCAATATTCGAACACAGGTGTTTTGTTTATCTGTGTTTGCTTGTGTAAAACGTATTCAACTATTATGGGCTTTAATGCTCTATATGACTACATAAAGATTAGACTTCATGGTCCTTCTCCTTTGATACACTCATAGTCGACTAGAGTAAAATAGTACTCGGATATGGTGTCCCTGGAAAAATGCAGAACACAAGTGGTTGGGTATTTGTCCTTAGATACAAGAATATGAAAGGCTTATGACTTAGAGAAAATGTTTCTCAAGCGCTTGATAATCGACTACAGTTTATCCTGCTCTTACTAAAGGTTGGAAAGGTCATTTCAATGTCTCAGTATTCAAACTACATAACAGTTGCTTTAATACAAGTCCATTTAATTCACCTAAACAACTAGTTCTTGTGAATAAAGTCTCCAAACTAAACTATCTCCAACGGTTATAATCTCACAATAACTATAAATAGGAGCTTCATTTAGGTCTAGTAGGTTAGAGATTGAGCATGACATTCACTATCTTCAACAACTTTGAGCAATTGTTCATTAATTTCTTGAGTTAAAGAGTTCCAACTAATTTGCTTACTCAACTTCATTGTCTATATCCAATCTCCTAATTAAGAAATTCATACACTTTTACTTGTATTATCATTTCAGGTTGCGTTAAGAGAGAATTGTAAACATCACTGTGAATGTATGAAGTGAAAATTTCATCACAACTTGGTTAAGTTGTGGCGCGGTTCTACTGTGGTACAGGAAGCCATTAAATCTTGGAGATATAATGGGAATTTTAAAATGTGATCTTAAGTATTTAACATAGGTCGAGTGGTCATTTGTATTAAATTAAGTTGTTATTCTAATAAAAAACCAAGTTATTGTTTACATATAACTAAGTTGTCATTTTCCTATACTCTAATTGTCATTTTTTCTCATCTTCCAATACCCAAGTTGTCATTTACTTAAGTTGTAATTTTCTCATAACCAAGTTATAATTTTTCTATATTCAAATTGTTATTGTTATTTCCCATTTTGGACACAAGATATTAGATGTGTGTGTGTGTATAAATATAATATTTTGTACTATTATATCACTAACCATGAGTGGTCTAATGGTTATTTATCATTTTGGCAACCAAGTTGCTAGAGCTCTGGCCCCCGGCAAGTTCCCTGATAACCGGCAGTAGTGGTGAGATGTTCTCCAATGGCAAAGGCCAGCCAGAGATCTGGCAACTAGTAGTGGATGAATTATTTAAAAAAATAAAATAAAATAAATATATTTTTGTAATTGCACGAAAAACTTATTTACAATTAAGAGATTTGAAACTTGGTAGTAACTGATGCATTTCATGAGACTGGGGTAATTGGAATCATTAGTGAGGGTAATTCTTCCTAATAATTTATATAAATGACGACAACAAATATTATGCCAATAGATGAGATCGGCTACATAGATTAAAATAAAATTCCATGATTAAAATAAATAAGAGGTTATGTTCAACAACTTCCATGATTAAAATAAAATTCTACACACAATAGTTGATTGTTGAAGGAATTGTATTTATTTTTTTACCCACAATTATTTTTCTATTGGACAAAATTATGTTTAAAGTACTGTAAAAATTTCTGATTCTTTCATGATTCACCCTTATCAAGATTTGGGTTCAACTCCCACATCAAGAGGAAAAATTGGTGTATGACTATAGATAAGTATGACATTTCATCGCTAAGGTGAATGAGTTAATTTGACTCATTCAAGTGACTAAAATCAAATTGGCTCATTTTGACAATTAAAATCTAGCATTTCAAAATTATAATTTAAAGCATACATGTCCATAATATAATATTTGCAACTCATTTTTTAAAAAAGTTTTGTCATAGTCTAACTATTATTAATATTAGAATAAAAGAGTAAATTGACCCATAAATTATAGCTCCACAAGCATCTCTGACTCCTAAACTCATTTGTTGTCCAATATTTTCTCTCAACTTTTGAAAATGATACAATATATCCCCTACCATTAATAAAAGCTAAATTTCAACTAATAAAATTTTTTTGGTTCTTTTCTATAATTTTTTGGGTCCTTTACTGTAATTTTTTTTTGTTATTTTATGAAATTTTAAGATCCTTTCTTGTCATTTTTTGGTCAACTAACAGTCAAAGTTAATTTTTGATAATAATAGATGTTATATTACACCATTTTCAAAAGTTGAAAGAGAACATTATATCAAAATTAAGTTTAAAATCTCAAAAGCTTCTAAACATATAATTTAGGTGTGCATTTGTTCTTTTACCCTTAATATTAATTCAATATTGTAAGGCTTAATTATTATTTATTTTTTACACCATCTATAATATAATTTTAATGCCCGCTGCATTAGAGATGACGACAAGATAGGCCCATAAAAAAAACTTTTTTTTGTTGGCAATAGACAATAAAAAAGTTAAAACTAAACCAACGTAATATAATTTTTAGGAAAAATATACCTTTTAATCTCTATACTTTGCTCGTATTTTGTTATAGATCTTTATACTTTCATCTTTCAATGTTCTAGGTCCCTAAATGAACAAAATGAACAAAGTATAAGAATCTTGAATGAACGTGAAATACTAAAAAATAAAAGTGTAAGGATCCAAAATACCAAAAAAAAAAATAATGTAGGAACCTATAATAAAACACAAGCAAAGTGTAGAAACCAAAAAATATGTTTCTCTAATTTTTAAAGAAATGCTTAGACCAAACCTAATGGGGAAAAAGATCAAGCAGGCCTAGCCCAACTTTTTCCTTTTTTAAATTTTGGGCCACCTGTTTTTCTGGTGAATATTTTGAGGGCAAATTTTTCCCCACCACTGGTTCACCACTTCACCCTATTAATATTAAAATTGTTTTGAAAAAAAATAAATAAATAAAAGGCGTGGGAAGATCATAGACAAAGGAGTTATATTACTCAAACATAACTTTTATTTTTTGGACCAAACTCAAACATAAATTTTGTCAAAAAGACTAACATTTTTCTATCATCTCCGGATGCAGTTGAAAAAATTATTTAATTTTGGCTACTCGTGTTATCTTGTTTTATTATATTTCTCACTTAACATGTACAATATAATCATTAAGTTTTTATTATAAGGATATCAACAGCGAAACGTGCGTCCCTCAAATAGTATCAGTAATTGTCGGCCAAAAAAATTATTAGTGAGTAATTTTTAAATTTCATACATAGATTAGTAAAAAAAAAATTCATACATAAAGAAAGGATAAAATGAAAAGAAAATTAAAAAAAATATACATTGAATTTAGAAGCTTTTAGATAAATAATGAGAAATTGTTTGAAATCATTGAACCCTGATTTTGATAATTATAAAAATTAAAGAAGTTGTTATTTTGTAAAGAAGTATTAATTGACAAAGTTAAGAAAATAAGGTTTATGTGCTTAAATTCTTTGATTTTCCTTTACCTCAATTCGTTTTTATTTTAGAAATACCTTAAATTGATTCAGGTTGAACTAAGAATTAAATCTTTTATTGAATATGTTCTTGGACATACTGGTATATGTCATTCATACTAATATGTTAATGTCCTACCAAAATAATATGTTAATGTCCTACCAAAATTTCTCACTTCTACCCGTATATCTCAACCTCATGTGAGCCAAACATTTCTACTAGTATGTAGAATTTCTACCCAAAGGCTCAACTTCTACCTAAATGTCAAAGATCTACCCAAATGTCTTTCCTGAGTCTTTACATAACAACTTCCACTAGAATGTTAAGGCTCTACCCAAAGATCTTATTTCTACCCAATTGTCTTCTTTCCTCTTAGCCTTCCAATTTCATGACACTTCTACTGATATATTAGAGACCTATCCAAATGTCTGATTCTTGCCCAAATGTCCTTGGTTCTACTAGTATATGTCTTTAAGGATCAACGTCTTTTGCAATAAATCATTCATATTCATACCAGTATATCACAATTCCTACCGTTATATCTTTGAAGATTTTTTCCTCGTTTTTTTGTTCCTAAATAGAGCATTTCAAAACCACTCAATTGCTAATCCTTTGTGATTTCTTGTGTAGTGTTTATCTTATTATCATTCTAGAATTCTTTTATCACAACCAAGATTAAGATCAAAACTCTTGTTCAAATCCTTGATGAATTCTTTCCACCCATATATCTTTTGTCTGCCAATATAACCTTCCTTTACCTTTTGTTAAAGTATTTAATGCATACAGCCGTTACTTTTCTTAAGGCGCCAATCTGCCTTAAATGATGAAAAACATCAGAGAAATCAAGATGAAGTTACCAATGGTAGACATATGAGTCTAAATGGGTATATTTCTAGAATCAACTATAAATTGGACTCATTTATGAAAAAGAAAAGTGCAAAAAGTAATTGAGCCAACTAATTGCATTCACTTTCTAACTACTTTCTATTAGTACATTCGATATTTTAAATGCTTCATTGATTGTATATTCACTCTGAAAGAGAGATTTATTATAGTAGTGATTCATTATTGAATTCACTATATTCTTTTCTGAATTTCTCATATGAGAGAGACTTACTTAAGCTCAGGGAACTTAAGGAAATTAAAAAGCACCTTTATAAGGAGAAGAGTCACAAATTCAAGGAAAAGTTTAAATTGTACTGAGCCAACTAAAAGCATGGTTTGATTTTGATAAGAGATAGTAAAAAATCTCAAGTATATCTTGCAGATTGGATGTGGACTCAAATGATTAAGAGCTGAACCAGAATAAAGACTCAATGCAAAGCTTCTCTTGCTCATCTCAGATTAATTGGTGATATCATTCCTTCTTTATAACTATATCTACTTATATTATTTTTTTTAATTTTTAATTAGCCAAATTGACTTCTTTCTTGGTGGACCTTGCATAAATGAGTTTTAAAAACTCATTCCAATTTATATTTAATTATCTCGAAGATCTATTTTTAAAATTTTTAGGTCTAAATTTATATCTTAAAAGTATATTGAATTGGACGACCATTCTATTGCGTGATAATCAAGTCCAGGCCATTGACAAAATTTTTATTTTATTTGGGAAAAATAAACCCAGCTAAAGCTCCATTTTCGTTCTATAACTATACATTCCCTCCATCACATTTTTAGGGCATGTTTTAGAAGATTTATTTGATCATATTTATAAGTCATGGTATAGCTTTTTAGGTAATAGTTAAAAATTATTTCTAAAATTGAAAGAAAAAGTAAAATGATATCCTTTTTTGAATTTTTATATTGGGGCATATTTAAATTTTTACACATTTATTCTTTTTTTATATATTAACTTCGCCTATGTTTATAGCCCGTCCCAAGCCCGGGTAAAGGAGGAGGGTTGTGTTAGGCCATCAACAGCCAATGTAAAACTTTGTTGAATCTATCATGAACATGGACAATAGACATTATAATGTTAATGCTAGGTCTTTGCCCGTAAGTAACGCGCTGCATGGCTCGAGTACAGTGATAAGTTAGAGCCGCTGCATCGGCGCCCGGATGTAGTGTTAAATGAGCAAGGGCTACCGCGTCATTCTGGACGCACACGGCTAAAGAGGTTAGTCTATGAGAGCAAAATTAGATTTGGTACTTGGAATGTTAGAACATTGAATTGTAAATCTGTAGAGGTTGTAGGGGTTATGATTCAAAGGAAAATCAATATCCTTTGCCTGCAAGAAACAAAATGGCGTGGAGAAGAAGCTAAGGATATTCAAGGTTTCAAACTTTGGTATACAGGAAAAATAAGCGCACACAATGGAGTAGGCATCATTATGAATAAGGAGTGGAAGAAGAATGTTGTAGAAGTTAACAGAATTGGAGACAGAATTATTTCCTTAAAAATGATAATTGGACGTGAGACTGTTAATATTGTTAGCGCTTATGCGCCGCAAGTCGGGACAGAAGCCAGTGTTAAGGAATTATTTTGGGAGGATCTGGAGGGGTTGATTCGACACATATCACAGAGTGAAAAGATTTTTATTGGAGGAGACTTTAATGGACATGTTGGGAGGGAGGCTGGTTAGTATACGAGAGTGCATGGTGGTTTTGGTTTTGAAGAGCTAAACAATGAAGGACAAACTCTTCTTGATTTCTCATTGGCGTATGATTTTAAGATTGCCAATACTTGTTTCAAGAAGAGAGATGAGCATCTCATCACTTACAAAAATGGAGTCTCAAGGTCACAGATTAATTTTCTTTTGGTTAGGAACACAGATAGAAGACTTTGTAATAATTGCAAGGTGATCCCCGGAAATGCTATAATGACACAACATAGGGTCCTAATCCTTGATGTGTGTATTATGAGTAAAATCCAAAAGCGTCGACAAGTAGCAACACCAAGGATTAGGTGGTGGTAATTAAAAGGTGAGAAGCAAGATATTTTCAAGCGAAATCTTTTGGACAAAGGAATTTGGGAATCTCAGGGAAGTGCTAACATCATGTGGGAGGATATGGCTAAAAAGATACAGGAGGTTGCAAAAATAGTTTTGGGAGAATCAAAAGGTTCTGCTACGAGAAATAAGGAGTCTTGGTGGTGGAATAATAGTGTACAGGACAAAATCAAGTATAAGAAAAACTGTTTTAAAGCCATACATTTGTGTAACAATGAAGAAAATTGGGAGAGGTACCGTATGGCTAAGAAGGAAACTAAGAGAGCTGTGGGTGAAGCTCGTTCTAAAGCTTTTGAAGAATTTTATAAGAGCCTTGAGACGAAGGAAGGAGAACGAAACATTTATAAGATTGCCAAGAGTAGGGAAAGAAAATCAAGGGATCTAGAACAGGTAAGGTGTATTAAGGATAAAGAAGGAAGAATTTTAATTACAGATGATGAAATTAAAAATAGATGGGAGACTTACTTTTCCAAACTTTTCAATGATGGAGAGGTTTCATCTAGTAATTTGAAGGATTTAGTAACTGGTGAAGGAGAACAAAATTTGTCATTCTATCAAATAATACGTGATAAGGAGGTAAAGGAAGCTCTTAAGAAAATGGCAAATGGTAGAGCCAACGGACCTGATTGTATATCTATCGAAGTGTGAAAATGTTTAGGTGAAGAAGGGGTGAGATAGTTAACTAAGTTATTTAATGTGATCTTACGGTCCAAGAAAATGCCTGATGAGTAGAGGAGAAGTACATTAATTCCTATTTATAAAAATAAAGGAGATATTCAGAATTGTACTAACTATAGAAAGATTAAACTCATGAGCCACACAATGAAATTGTGGGAGAAAGTAATTGAGCACAGGTTGAGATTGGAGACAAATATTTCTGAGAATCAATTTAGTTTTATGCCAGGTAGATCAACTACAGAGGCGATTTATCCACTAAGGGGATTAATGGAAAAGTATCGTTGTAAAGATAAAGATTTACACATGGTTTTTATTGATTTGGAAAAAGCTTATGATCGTATACCAAGAAAAGTGCTTTGGAAAGCGTTGGAAAAAAAGGGAATACGGATTGCTTATATTAAAACCATACAAGATATGTATGAGGGGGTAAAAACTAGTATAAGAACGTCTAGTGGTCAAACAAAGGATTTTCCTATAAAGATTAGACTACATCAGGGATCATCTCTGAGTCCTTATCTGTTCAACTTGATCCTAAATGTTTTGACAGAACATATTCAAGGAGAAATTCCCAAATATATGCTCTTCGCGGATGATATAGTTCTTATAGCAGAGACAAGAGAAGAGGTTAATTGCAAACTTGAGTTATGGAGGAAGACATTGGAGTCGAAAGGTTTTCGTCTGAGTAGGAGTAAGACGGAATATTTATATTGTAAATTTGGTAAGAGACTATTCGACAATAATTTGGAAGTAAAATTGAGAGATCAAATTATATCTCAAGTGGAAAAGTTTAGATATTTGGGAGCCATTATTCAAAATGATGGCGAAATCAGTGGAGATATTTCACATAGGATTCAAGCTGGGTGGTTTAATTGGAGAAAAGCTAAAGGAGTTATCTGCGACCGTAAGGTGCCTAATAAACTTAAAGGAAAGTTTATCGCACTGCTATCAGACCGGCAATGTTATATAGTAGTGAATGCTGGGCTCTAACGGGACAGCAAGAGTATAAAGTTGAAGTAGCAGAGATGAGAATGTTACGATGGATGTGCGGACATACACGTAAAGATAAAATTAGAAATGAGCACGTACGCGAAAAAGTGAGGGTAGCACCTATTGAGAAAAAAATGGTAGAACATCGGTTGAGATGGTTTGGGCATGTACAAAAAAGACCAAGGGAGGCACCAGTGAGAAGAGTGGAACATATAACTTTGAGTCCGATTAAGAGGGGTAGAGGAAGGCCTAAGAGAACACTCTTGGAAGTTGTTGAACGCGATCTCTTAATTAATAATATTCCTAAAAGCTTGATAAATGATAGAGCACAATGACGTCTTGCAATCCATATAACCGACCTCACCTAGTGGGATAAAGACTTGTTGTTGTTGTTGTATTTTTTTTATATATTGATATTGGTGAGATTAGTAAAAATGACTTAAAAGGAATCAAAGGAAGTATATGTTTTCTCTTTCTCCTTCAAGTTGTCTAACTTCGAACTTTTCAATAGAATTTGGTATCTTAAATTGGTATATTATTCTCTAAACATGATTCAATACGTTGTAGCCAGTGACTCAAATACATTTTCGTTTAAATAATTCCTTCCTTTTCTTTTAGTCAACAAAGTTTGAAGTTATTTCCTATTATTTTAAAAACTAAATCAAATCGGACAATCAGACATGTTAGACATTAACCAAAACAATTGATCGCTTGGTTTAGATCAGAAAACCATTTTTATGGCTGAGCAAGATTAGACTGGAGTTGAACAACTATTGAACCAGAATCTAGAGTAGAACTAGGAATTGGAACGATTCTCTAAAAAATGAACGGTTTTAAACATAATATTAAAAAAATGTAAAAATTCAAAAATTAAACCCCTACTAAAAACCAACTTCATTTTTTAATAATTTACAGGTATATAATATAATTTGAAACCATTTTTTTAATAAAATGTTGTAACTATAGGTACAAATACAAATACTTTTAAATTTACTCATATCTAATTTACCAAAAATCCACCAATATTTGACAAATTATCAAATTATAATGGATAAATTAGCTCATTGGCAAAAAAAAATCTTGTACCAAAAAATTATGGACAAAATTTTTGAAAATTTAAGAGCATGGTCAATTCATAATTGATATACAATAAGTTTATCATTGATATACAACTAGTTTATCATTAAAAATTTAAAAATTTACAAGGGATTTAACATTGATAGAAATTATATATCATTGACAAATATAATAAATTGACAATAATGTAAAACATAATAAATGTTGGGCTATTTGCTTAATTTGATCATAATTATTGGCTATATCTACAAAAGTCCCAATTATAATTTATAATATTATTAATTTACGATTATATTGTATAATTATAATTTGATCATTTAATCCCTACAAATTTGTCTCACTAATAACTCAGTTTCTGAACTTTAACCCGTTATAACTCAATTTTTATAATTTTAACTCAATTGTAACTCAATTTTTAAACTTTTTTTCTTACAATTTAATCCTTATAGTTTCAACTACTTAAATATTAATTTCTATATTTTAAAAAATAAAATTATAAAAATTAAAAATATTTTGAACATTTAATATTTATAATATTTATAAAGATTCAAGGGGTTTAATAATTTAAAATATTAGTAATGAATTTTAGCATAATTTTAATCTTTACAAAATATTATAAATATTATAAATCTTAAAAGTTCAAAATATTATAATTTTAATCTTTTAATCTTTAAATATTATAAATATTAACAGTTCACAATATTTTTAGTCATTATAATTTTATTTTTTAAAATATAGAGACGAATATGGCTAAAACTATAAAGACTAAATTGTACAAGTTAAAATTTAAAAACTAAGTTACAACCATGTTAAAACTATAAGAATTAAGTTACAACGAGTCAAAATTCAAAGACTAAATTACAATTGTAACAAAACTACATGGACTAACTAATTAATTTTTTCTTTTATTAACGACTAGACCTGCTGTAAATTTGTTCTTTATATCTATTATATATATATATATATATATTTAATATTATTTTTATTCAATTGTTATTTAATTATTATATTACTAATTTCACCCCTAATCAAATGGGATCATATAAACCGAGAATTGCTGATTTTTACAACTTTTAAAACATCGCATTTCTTATTTATTGGTTAGTTTTTAAAATAAATAAAAATAAAATGATATGTTTCAAGCGAACTATTTTTAAGAATCCATTTGGGTACTATAAGTTTCACATTTGAAAAGTAAATTTGCACTTTTGAAAAATTAAAATATGTTTAGTTAAATATTTTTTGGATAAAACCACATCTGATAAGCACATTCAAAATTTAGTTAAAAATGAATTTTCTCAACTTAACTTGGAAAAGCTTTTTAAAAGCACATTTCAGAAGCCTCCTTAATTGTGCAGGACGAGAGAGGAGAAAGGGAAGGTAAAAATTAAACAACAACAATAATAATTGAATAAAGTAATGAAAACAAAAATAGACCACAACCCATGAAGAAATAATGAGAACAAAAATTATAAAGAATAATTATTAAAAATATGTTATATTTGACCATGCTATTTCTAATTTTATATTTGTTCATTTTATTTTATAATTTCAGAAAAAAAATAATTTGCAGGTTTCTATAGTTTCTCAATCTTAATTAAAGCCTTATAATTTGATCTATTAAATGTATTAATCTTTGTAGGCTCAAGAGTCTATTGTATAAGATTAAAAAATAAATTATTTTTACATAGTTTAAAGATTTAATGAAAAAAAGATTTATTTTATAGAAATTTTATAAAAGATAGATATCATTCTATGTTTGATTATAATAATAAATCAATTAATTAACATTTATTTATTTTTAAATTTTACAATATTTTTCTTAATTTTTAATTTATAAAAATAATTTATTATTATATTATTTTAAAATTTAACATGTTATCATACCTTTGCGTCTCTTGCCTCTTTAAATCACACTCTTTCACTTACCTCATTAAATTATTTTCAGAAATTACTTAAAGTAACATTTTAAAATAATAAAAAAATTTGAATTCTGATTTTTTTCAAAAATTTAAACAAATATAACAAAATTTCATAAAATATATTTTTTTAAAAAAAGTAATTTTTTTAATGAAATAAACCCAATCAAACGGTCCCAACATTATTGATTTTTTTCAAAACAAAATTACTTTTTAAATTATAAAAACCTAATTCAAAATAAATTGTGAAAAACTAATTTAAAATTGAAACAAACTATAAAAATATATTTTTCTATAATTTAAATATTTTAGATTTTATATTATGTATATATTTTTATTACTTTTAAATATATATTTTTATATAGTATTTAAATAAATTTTAATTTATTAAATTATTTTAAAAAAATTAAATAAATTTTATTACAATTAATTTTTATTAAATTAATTTTTATTAAATAAACTTATGACCTTTAAACACGCACCAAGCTCAACGGAGCTGGCTTGCTTTGGCTAGAGGGGGTGGGAGAGACCGGCGGCGCAGAAACCAATTAGCTTAAAATCGGCCTTAGTAAAAGACTCCAGAAGTTTCTTGCGAAACTTATTTCAAGATTTGCATGAAACCGATGGACTGGAAGAAGCCTGAATTCGACAAGAAGACTAAATTTCATGAACATACTTCAAATTTACCTGGTCGAGTAATAACAAGCGGCAAAATGAAGAATTTGGGGATCAAGTTAGGCTTCAGAAATCCCTAGCTCTGCTCTGCATCATTCTCTTTCATTGAATCGAATCAACTGGATAATCAGCTCGAAATAACCAAGCGAAGTTCATTCTACAGTCCAAAAGCCTAAGATTCAAGCATTCGAAGAATCACGGGCCCAAAAAAAAAAATTGCATTCGAAGAATCTATCAGCAAATATTGTGGATCAAAGTAGAGGCAATAGACTTCACAGTTTCTCATACCTGGACTGTCTCGATTCACAATGGCGATTTTTCACTTCCGATTGAAGATACGAAGCGTTCTTGCATCTGCATATTTTCATAAATCTCGCTTTCCTTTTAAAGAAAAATTAGATATAATGAACAATGAGATAATAGAATTCTGAAACATTATGGTACTGCCTGGAGAAGGGAGCCTACTGTCATGGCAGCTTCGGATGAATACGCGTTGAACGGTTTGAAAAGTAAACTACGGAGAAAAACAGAAGAAACAAAAGGGCTTGTCGATTCTTTTTTTTATTTATATATATATATATATATATATTCTTCAAATAATTTTATAGAATAATTTTTTACTAATTTTAAAAATAAAAAATTCAAAAATAAATGTTCAAATTATGTAAAGCATACTCCTCCTACGTAAGACATTTTTAATAGTTTGTCTCTCAATAAAATAATTATTTATTTAAAAAAATTGACATTTTAATCTGGAAAAACTAATTTAATGTCAGTAAAGTTTCAAGAAATTGAAAAATGTTGACAAAGTCCTACGGCATCTTGATTGAAAATGAAAAGACGAAATCACCTCCTCTCTATATTGGAACAGGTGACGTAACGGTTGAAAAATCATTTTTCCACGCTTACCAATTACCCTCAAAACTCAATATTTCCCTTTCTCCCTTTCCCAGCCAAAATTCAAAATTCTAACCTCTGATCTTTAAACAAAATTCTTAAAGAAAAAACATAAGCAAAATTTATGACAGAAATTTTTATTAATTACAATGATTACATTTTCATAGAAAAAAATATTTCACAGGTTATAACTTATAAGTTTTAATATAATGTAACAAATAAATAACTAATAAATTTGCACCGAAATTTTTATTCAAATTACTAATAAATGTATTATATTAAAATTATTAGGTTAAATTAATAGTATAACAATAAAAATTTAAAATTTTTTTATTTTAATATATTTTGATTTTATAATTATATATTTCATTTCTATATTGAAATAATCACTAATACATGTTTTATATTAAAATTCGTAGGTTAAATTACATTTTTTTTAGATGACAAATTACTTGCAGCAGTAGCTGGATTTTGGTAAAATTTATTTTGATTTGTTATATTATATTAAAATGCTTTCCTTTCATACCACAATATAAGTCACTATTAATTAATTTATATTTAAAAAATTTTCTTAAAATATTAATTTTTAAAAAATTTACATATTTACATTTATACTCTTGAGTGTGTAACAAATATAACTTTTGAATTGTTCAAAACATTCTCATTAATTACTTAATAAAGTAAAGATGTGCTCTCTTAATTAAAAATATAAATTATTTTTAATCGAATCTCAACTCTTAATAAGCAATTATTTATCTTCCAACTAATAGTATATTTGTATCTATCCTTATTTAATAAGATTTTTTTGAGCCAAAATTTAATACCATGTTTTACTTTAAAATAAATATAAGTGATTTATTTATTAAGAGTATTTTTAAAAATGCACAATAATTACACTTTAAAATACTAAAAATATCTTATATTTTTTAACATTTAACTATTTAAAAAATATCTTAAATTTTTTAATGGAAGAGTAATTGAAAATATATATATATATATATATATATAATTTCTGCCAATTATGTTATATTTTTTACTAAATAAAACTTCTAGAAAATAATTTATATTATACTCCAATATAAGTTATATCTTGTAAAATATTTTTTTAAGAAAATATTCGTCATTACAGTTGATAAGAATTTCTGTTCATAAATTTTGTTAATTTTCTATTTTTAAAAAATTTTATTCAAAAATTAGAAGCTAGAATTTTGGATTTGGTTGGGGAACGAGTGAGAGGGAGAAAGAGTTTTGAGGATCATCGTTAAACGAGGAGAAATGATTTTTCAAAGTCGCGTCACCGGCTGCTTTACAGAGACAGGGGAATGATTCGTCTTTCCTTTTTGATCAATGTACTTTGGGACTTTATCAACATTTTTCAATTTCTTGAAACTTTACTGATATTAAATTAATCTTTTGGGGTTTCAATATCACTCTCCTTATTTATTTTTAAATTAATATCATATTTTTATATTTATCTTTATTTAATAAAATATTTATTTAAAAATAAATGAGGTAATTTATCTATTATGAATACTTAAAAAAATATATTTATTACTATTTTTATTCAAAAATATAAGTCATTTTAAAAAAATCTTACTTCTAATAAAGTAATTACCTACTTTCAAATTAATTATATCTTTTTATATTTATCTCTATTAAACACCCTATAATAAATATAAAATCATTCATAGAGACATTTTTAGAAAAAAGTTAATAATTACATTTCAAAAGACTAAAAATGTCTTACATTTTTTAACATCTAATTTCTTAAAAAATGCATTATATTTTTAACGGAGGGGGTATATTTTAAAATATTAAAAAGATCTTATATTTTTAAATATCTAATTTTTTAAAAAATTTCTTATATTTTTTAACAAAGGGAATAAATGATAAAATAAAAGGTGAAAGATTTATTTATATTTTTAATATAATTATCTTTAATAAATACATGATGTTTTTTTGGTCTTCTCTTTAGTTTTAAGAAATAAAAAATAAGAAAATTTTGAAATATATTCTGGTTTTTTTAGTTTTTTTGAAAAAATAATTTTTTCTTGTTTAATAAAAACAGGAAAATAATTTTAAATAATTTTCTTATTTTTTAATTTTTCAAAATGAAAATTTAATATGTTTTAATATTTAATCAAATATTTTTAAATAAAATTTTTTGACCAACCACTCACATGATAGGCTCGGTTGGTTGTTTTTGTTTTTTTTTTTTCTTTTTGGTTGTTTTGTTGTTTTTATTATGAGAAAGCTGTGCCAATATTTTAAAACTCAAGTCAAACATCAAATCAAAAAAATAATAATAATGAGTCACAGCTTTTATAATTTAATTATTTAAATCGTTAGTTAAATCAATAACATAAAAATTAAATAAAAAAAGATTTGCATACACAAATACATAAATAAAATATTAATTTATTGATTGTGCTTAGGATCTAAATAATAAAAACTAGATGTTTAAACTACTGGAGTTGGAGACATGACATCATGTCACAAATTGTGAGTTTTTAGTCTCAATGCCAAGAATTAGTTCGCTAAAGCTTAAGATAGAGGCTAAAAGAGAGGTTAGAAATTAAGTTTGAGCCATAAAAAAGATACTAAAAATGAAATAAAAGAAGATAAAAGAACGAGAGATTAGAAATGAAAAAAAATGTTAATATGAGCGCTTTAGGCTTTTTTTTTTTAACTTAGTTAACCCGCTCTGATTTTTAAATTAAATTTAATTCTCTCAAAACTCATCAAGTCAATTCTTTTTAAATGCTAGATTGGTCTAATTAATTGGATAGCAGGTGTTGGTTGGATCATTCGGTTTCATCTGATTTTCAAAACATGTATATGTACTCACTTTCTTGTTCGTCTTTTGAATGAAGTTTCCTGTGCTTATTCGGGAAAAACAAAAAACAAAAGTCTATCACTTGAACTCGTTGGGGACCAAAAACAAAACAAAAAACAAAAAACAACAACAACAGCTCATTCAGTCCAGTCATTTGATCATTTCAACGAAAGTTTGTCGAAGTTGCTCTTTTTCACTATCAATTTATCATTGATTTCTGCTTTTTCCAAGATGACTTTCATCCACAAGCAGAGAGACCACGTCCAGCTAGGATAGGATATTAGGAGGATAGTTACGCCGTTACGTAGGTCATCATAATTCATAATATAATAATTATTTAGAATTATGCAACATTTTCAAAATAAAAAATAAAAAATAAAAAATAAAAAATATTTAACTGGAATCTTGTAGTTAATTAGTTTAAAAAACTATAAAAAAATATTTTCATTAAATTTATAAGTCACTTCTAATTATCACACCAATATTAATGAGGGCAGTTAAATTATTGATTTTATTTATAAAAGAAAAAAATTTAATTTACCTTTATTAAATACATCTTTAAAAACATTTTAGTTAACAAAAACTCCATTTGCCATTACAAACTTACATTGTTGGAAAGGGTGTTGGAATACATTATTACCTATTTCTCTTGTGTTTTTTCAATTTCAAGGGCAGGATTAACTTATCATGAATTTATTTTTTTGTTTTATTATTAGTCTTAAATTCCACACCTTGAATATAAGTGCGTGTTTGGCTTTTTATTAATCAAAAATCAGTTTATCAAAATTTTATTTTATAAAGTCAATTTAATAAAAGTCAATTGTTATAATAAAATTTATATTTAAATATATTTTTTTAAAAGTCAGTTCAGTAAACTAAAAATTTAGATTATATATAATAAAATATATTTTTGAATGTATAATTATCAAAAAGGACATTAATTTATGATGCTTTATAATTTTTGCTATATAAATGTAATATATTATAAATATTTAAACAACATGATAAAATTTGATATGTTAAATGATAAGAATAAAAAATACAAAGTTTGATATATTGAAAAATAAAAAAATAAAAAAATAATTTAACATACATTGATATTAAAAATTGATATGATTAATTGTTTAACATATAACGTACAATCTAATCTTTAATTGAATCACAAATTCTACTAATCTCTTTATCAGGAACCACATGTAAAACTATAGTTGGAATTGATGATAGTGATGCACGATCAGTACTATCATCCTAAGTCATAAGGGTATCAAACAAAATCTTGGTCTACATGAGAATGTATCAACCTAAACGGCTTTATTGTGTAATCATAAATATTCTGAATTAAACATTTTGTCCAGGCAAATTTTGTCATCAGAATGAAATGAAATCACCATTTTTGGTATTTGCTCAATGAAACACCCTGTTCAATTAGCTTGTTGGCTTAGATTAGGGGATTTGAGCTGGCAATTTGACAAGCTTTCTTTTTCATACGTGGTTTCAGTATTTAACAATTAACACTACTATGTGAAAGTTTCTTAAAAAAAAAAAAATCATGGAGGGTGAAATGTATAAGTATTATTTTATCTTTTGGTGCAGTTCACAGAACGCATAACCTGCATGGGAAGTCATGGATCCACCGTATTAGGTTGTCGGTTGATACTTGCACGATTAGCAACTTTAAAAGCAACGGGACAAAACACTCAAAAAGCAACATCCTTCATTTCAAAAGTTCTAAAATGGCCCGTTATCAAAATCCATTTTTGA